CAGCTCAGACCCCGGTGTCTCCCTGCAGCTCAGACCTCAGTGACTCCCTGCAGCACAGACCTCAGTGTCTCTTTGCAGCTCGTGCTAATCTCAAAGTCTTAACGTGTATTTTACATTTTATTGTGCTTGTCTGTAGTGCTTTGAGATGGTAGTAAAAGTTATTGTACTAAACCAGAATTCTGAACTGCAGGCATTCTGTTTCGCATTAAGTTAAAATCCAGTCAACTGGATCAGCTAAACTAGATTTTCCCATATTTAGCCATTCTCTACAGTCTCAAGCCTTAAGATCCTTTAAAATCAATTTACATTTTAAAGAGGTATAAAAATCTGTTGGACTCTGGATTACGAATTCTCCAGTTGGGAATCTGTTAAATCATTCTCTTCCTGATGCTGTTTCTGGGGAATCTTTTTTTCAGTTTGAGGAAAACTGTCAGGATTAATACCAGGCTCTGAAGAAATGTCCTCTATAGGCAAGATTAAATAAACTAAATCTCATGAGATGAGGGGTATTCTACATCTTAAAAATCATCTCCTGATTGATTGATTGGTTGATTGATTCTCTGTTTCTGTAAGGGGCTGTGGATTACCTGCTGAGGCTGAGGACTGCTTTGGTGGCTCCTGAGACCCTGCAAGAGAGATGAACACCATGACGACATACTGAAAGTATCCCATTGACAAGACAGAGCATACGGTATCTCATTCACATTACAATCCAGACTTACGTTGTACAGGTCCAATCGTGAGGATGTCAATGAAGGGAACTGATGCTGACCTCTTTGCTGGACATGACTTCAGGGGAAAGAAATGGAGAACACAGTCAGTATATTAAACTGCTTTTAGTCTAGTATACAAAGTGGCACTTTTATGTCCCATACCTACAAAATATTTTACAATGTGTAACCTCTGCATACTTATGAGTAATCAGCGATCACAATATTAGGACCCCACTGCATGCTGATTTGGGCTTGTTAAAGTAGAAGGAACAACTTGAACAGACATGATGTGTCGGCTCTTTGCACAAAAGAGATTTAACATGATTTTCGTTTGAGGCTGTAATGAGAATAGCCGTTTGTGGGGTTGAAATTCACATTCCACTGAGATCCTTGGATTGTTCTGGCTAGATGAACATACAGTTTGTAAGGTGATGTAAGTTACCTTGGTTGCACAAGGTATGCATGTCTTGACTGACTCCTGTTACAGTGGAAGGAAAAGGGATAGCAGTTTGGGCAATATGATCCCTGCTGCACTCCAACACACACCATTTCCAGCACTGCCTGGTGCATCAAAAA